CTCAATTAATTTTTTCTTTTAGAAATTCCAAGGAATTTTGAATCAATATGTTCATAATTTTCGATAGACTACATCATTCTATTAATAGCTGCGGATGATGCATATAATTTACTTTGTGTTTGACGTTTGTTGGATAAAATATTTTTAGAAATATATGGTTACCAACCACCTCTGCTCAGATTCATTTTTCATCATAAATAATTATTTATCATTGAACTAAAATTCAACACATTCATTATCACAGTAACCTACTCGATAACTATATGTATAATGTATATAGATACACTAGACACTTTTAAACACAGCAAAGCAACTTCCTTGGTTTTTCTGTTAGTTCCTTGTAGGTACTTACTCAAAATTTAAAATAATTGATTTTATATGTTATTTTAATAATTAATTTCTATTAAATGTTCATTATTTGTTGTGTAACATAAAATTTAAAATATACAGGATATATATAAACAGCAGCCTGCACTGGTACTGACAGATCGATAGAAGTAATATAAAATATTGGTGGTCATCAATCTACGTGAACGTCGTTTGCAGTTAAATCTTACTATTATAGTTCAGGATGGTAGCATTCGATTGCAAAACTACGTCCTTAATAATTTGTTCGTCCTTGACCGTCTTAGTGAGTATCCTGTACTTGTCCGAACGATGGGATGAACAACGCAGAAATATCGTAATTGGKACCCGACAGATAGTGGATCCTTCCCTTCAATTCGTCGCCGTGGTACGTTATAAATTATAATAATATTATAATTCTTAAATAGTTCATAACCATAAGTTACTATTCATAAATATTTTTACATAACAAATAACTATTCATTTAATAAAAAAGAACATACCAATTCTTGTGTAGGTTCTGTACGATAACCGGACACGACGATGAGTAGAGATCTGAATATTATAATTGTAATAAATGAAAAAAAGCGTGTAAGTGGATGTCGCTCAGCTGTACATTAGGGGGTGGGGTGGACCTCTGACAATGATATGTTAGATTTGAATGCAATGATAGGTATCATTGTATACGAAAAACGATTCTGAACGGAGATGATTTGTCAGTCTAGGTCCTAGACTCTAGGATATATTATATTTAAATATTGTCATATATTCTATTTTGAAACAAATATATTATTTTTCAATTA